TGTTTTCAGTTTTTGGCAATTATGAAAACTTCCGTTATCATTCATGTACTGTTTTTTGTATGAACATAAGTTTTCATTTTACTAGAGTAAATACCTAAGAGTGTGATTTCAGGGTCATATGGTGATAGGGTTTGGCTGTGTCCCCACCCAAATCTCACCTTGAATTGTAATAATCCCCAAGTATCAGGGGTGGAGCCAGGTAGAGATAATTGAATCATGGGGGTGGTTTCCCCCATACTGTTCTCGTGGTAGTGAGTAAGTCTCTTGAGATCTGATGATTTTATAAAAGGGAGTTCCCCTGCACAAAGTCTTTTGCCTGCTGCCATTTAAGATGTGCCTTTGCTTCTCCTTTGCCTTCCACCATGATTGTGAGGCCTCCCCAGCCATGCTGAACTGTGAGTCCATTAAACCTCTTTCCTTCATAAATTACCGAGTCGTGGGTATGTCTTTATTAGCAGTATGAGAATGGATATAGTAAATTTAAGTTTATAAGAAAATGCCAAACTATTTTCCAAAATGACTACTGTTTTGCATTCCCACCAGCTATATATGAGGGTTGCTTTTGTAAAGCTCGTCTCAGTCACACCTTTTGCATTTCCTGGAATCTGCCTGACTTGTTGCATGTCTTGAAACCGTGGAGTGGGAAAGGGAGTTTTTTCTCTTGTTATTATATTAATAACCCACTTGAGGAATTTTTGCTTCCTCTTCACACAACCTTAGATTCAGTGGCTTTCTTTACCAAGCTTGTCTTTGTGAACATGGCAAGCCTGAAAACATTCAGCTCTTCTGCAGGGAAAGTCCTGAAAGATGCACTTCAAGGGTTTAACTGAAGAGAGTCTAGTGAAGGAAATATTTATGGAGGTAAGGGCCTGGCTAAGGTAACTAACAAGCAATGATAGATCACCCAGGGATTACCAACAGCAAGAATCCCTTCCCCTCCATCACTAGGCCTGCAGAAGTGTGGAAAGGGAGTAGTAATACCAGAACCCACAGAGAGCTTGAAGCCATGGAGGAGAGGCCACTCAACAGAAGCTATAACTATAGAATGCAGCCAGAGCCTGAATAAACCCACAGCAGGGAAGAACCACAGAGGGGAAAGAAATATCCAGACCTCTCTCTTCCACTGCCCTCTGAATCCTTTTGAACTTACCATTGGTCAAACGCAATCAGAAACCATACAGAAAGTATATTAGCATGTCAGGATTCTCCAGAAAAACAGAACCAACAGGAGATATAAGAAGAAATTTATTATGAGGAATTGGCTTGTGTGATTATGGAGGCCAAGAAATCCCATGATCTAGGGGTCCAAGAAAGTTGGAGATGTAATTCTAGCCTGAGTGCAGAGGCCTAAGAACTGGGGGAGCTGATGAATCAAAAAAAAGGAGAGAGCTCAGGTACATACACAGAGGATTAAACAGTGCTTACCATGGTCAGGGGCTGGGAGAAGATATGGGGAGACATAGGTCAAAGGATACAAAATAGCAGATATCTAGGATCAACACGGTTTGAGATCTCATGTAGAACATGAGGACTAAAGTTAACAAAATTATATTTTATCAGGGAGTTTTGTTAGATTTTAACTGCTCTTGTCACACACACAAAAAAGGTAACCCTTTTACTATTTGTGTCCTATAATATCATGTTGTGAATCTCAAATATATGTAACACAATTTATTGAAAATTTAAAAGGCTGGGCATAGTGGGTCAAGCTTATAATCCCAGCACTGTGGGAGGCTGATGGCGGTGGATCGCCTGAAGCCAGAAGTTCGAGACTAGCCTGGCCAACATGGTGAAATGCTGTCTCTACTAAAAATACTAAAATTAGCCAGGCGAGGTGGTGCACATTTGTGATCTCAGCTACTCGGGAGGCTGAGGCAAGAGAATTGCTTGAACCCAGGAGGGAGAGGTTGCAGTGAGCCAAGATTGCACCTCTGCACTCCAGCCTGAGAGACAGAGCAACACTTCGTTTCCAAAAAAAAAAAAAGATAAATGCTGAGGTAATATTTCTACTTATAAGATTGGTACCCATCAGCCAGGCGCAGTGGCTCACGCCTGTAATCCCAGCACTTTGGGAAGACGAGGCAGGCGGATCACGAGGTCAGGAGATCAAGACCATCTGGCTAACACGGTTAAACCCCGTCTCTACTAAAAATACAAAAAAATTAGCTGGGCATGGTGGCGGGTGCCTGTTGTCCCAGCTAATCAGGAGGCTGAGGCAGGAGAATGGTGTGAACCCAGGAGGTGGAGCTTGCAGTGAGCTGAGATCGTGCCACTGCACTCCAGCCTGGGTAAACAGAGCGAGGCGCCATCTCAGAAAAAAAAAAAAGATTGGTACCCATTAAATAATTTTCATTGCTGAAGGAAACGTGAGGAAACACTTATCATATACTTATGGAGAAAGTTTAAATTGCTACTAAAGCAATCTGGTAATAAATATTAATGTGGAAAAAAATGCACACTCCTAGCAATATTCTTAGAGAGGAATCTAAAATATACAATTAAAATCACGTAGAAAACTTTACTGAAGAATAGTTTGTAGTGTTCAAAACTGAAAAGTCTACTGTTTCTCAATCATAGAAGGGTTAAATACTTTATATGTCCACACAATAAAGCACTATGCAGTTACTACAAAAATAGATCTATGCATACTAATTTGAAGGGGGGTTCAGTATACCTTACCGTTGAAAACTGGAAGTTACAGAGTAAATGTATACTGTATCCTTTTTTTTTTTTGTAGATAAAAGCAAAAAACAACAAAATCCTGTATGTGTGTTTTGTGTTTGCACAGTCATGTAGAAGAGGGTTGAAATACGGTAACACCAAGCCATTAGCATTATCTCAGGGCAGTAAAGGGTGGAATGAGAGAAAAATGTTAAGGTTTTCTTTGTACACCTTATTTTTTTTTTTCACATGAAGCATAACTTAAGCATATCGTATTATACTATTGTGTTTTAAAAAGTGTATCTTTTGTAAAATAATAAAATAATAATCACAGCAAATAAGCCTTTTGTGGAGCCAATAGGAGTCAGCTTTGGGGAACACAGTGCAGGGCAGAGAAGGAAGGAAAATGGGCCAAGATGAGGCGAGACAGGCAGTGGCAAATGGAGAATAACCAGCCCGACTCATCCCCTGTGCCTCTCAGCACATTCTTGCCTTTTGCTTGGAGGACATTGAGGACATTGGTTTCCTCCCACAAACTCCCATCAGCCAATGTATCATCATCATGTGATGTCATTTCAATTTCACCTAAATCTGAATTGTGCCATTGGCCACCATGAGTGCCCTTCATGTAAGAATGCAAGGAAAAGACGTAACTAAATGTAACTGTTTCAGCCCCAGCCTCTGTAGATGGACACTAGGGCCAAACTGATACATCAGAGCCTTCTTTTTCCATCACTTATTCCATGTTTGCCTTATCCTGGTGGTACCCCAGATGGGCAGTGTTTTATTTGGTGGGTGCATTAGTTTCCTAGGGTATTATAACAAAATACCATAAACTAGGTGACTTAAAACAACGGAAATTTATTGTCTCCCAGTTTTGGAGGCCAGAAGTGTGAAATCAAGGTGTTGACGAGACTATGTTCCCTCTAAAACCCGTGGGGGAATCCTTCCTTGCCTTCTAGCTATTGGTGGTTGCAAGTCATCTTTAGTGTTCCTTGACTTGTTGAAGCATCATTCCCATCCTCTGTCTTCACGTGATGTTCTCCCTGTGTGTCTTCACATTGTCTTCCCCTTGTGTGCATCTGTCTGTGTGTCCAGACTTCTCCTTTTTATAAAGAGACCAGCCATATTGTATTAGAATCTACCCTAATGATCTCATTTTAATTTAATTACCTCTATAAAGACCCTACTTCCAAATAAGGACACATGCTGAAGTACTGGTCTCAAATTCCTGACCTCAGGTGATCCGCTCACCTCAGCGTCCCAAAGTGTTGGGATTACAGGCATGAGCCACCACACCCTACCTGTTAACGTTTTCTAATTTAGTAAAAACAAAGAATAGGTAAAGCAGCTCACTGAATGGCTGAGACCCAAGCTGTCTACCATGGACTGCCAAGATGCCCTGCTGAAGAATGACAGATAACATTCCTTTCAGTTATATAAAACCATTGTTAGTAATCTTAAAATGTTATGTTTTATGTTTTTTTAGCTGTGAAAAGTTTTTAAAATGTGCTCAAAGTATATATGGCACTTTAGATTTGTGCCAGATGTCCATTAAGTGATTTACAAATGTTGAGAATCTAAGTGTTCTCAGAATTCTTACTTATTCAGGTTTTTGTGTTCATCCAAATTAAAATTGTCATGCAAAGGGTCCCTATCAAATACTGTCAAAACAATTTGACCTAACTGACATTTATAAAACAACAGCAGAATATGCATTTTTGGAAAGTGTACATAAAATATTTACCCAACAAAGATGACCTAATTGTTTTGTTTTTAAAGAAAGTTTAAATAAAATTAAATCTTTGCTTGGGAAAAAACTCTCTTCTCCTATCTCCAGTGATTCAATTAGGGAAGCTGTTAATAGGTAGGGAGGGAGAGAGGCCAGCTCACAACTTAATAGATATCAGCTGCTTAAATCGTTATACACTAAAATTCTTATTTTTGTTTAAAACTAAATAAATCAAAATTATAACATGCAACATGGCATTCAGGCTTATTAAATTATGAATTTTTTCTGCTTCTTAAAAGGAAAAAACCTGTTTATCTAGAAGGACTTTGGAATTTATAGTTACAGTGAGTTTCTATATATACTGTGTTTCAATTACTACTTTTCAAAGAACTAAAACATTATATACTATATACTGTTATATGCTATAAAATAAATATACTCAATAGAAATTATACTGAGCATATGTAAATCTTTCTTTCAAGATCCAGAAACTACCACACCTAAAACTGAGGGTACATTAATCATGAATTAATATAGAACATGAGCCCAATTTGAAAATATTTGCTCATAGTGTTACTTTGCATGGAATTGTGATCTGTCCTAGCAGATTTTAATGTTGAATGCATGTATCTTGAAGGAGGAATATCACAAACGTGACTTCACGGAGGTGCTCTCTCCCAACATGTACAACAGTAAACTCTGGGAAGCCTCAGGCCACTGGCAGCATTACAGCGAGAACATGTTTACCTTTGAGATTGAAAAGGACACTTTTGCCCTCAAACCCATGAATTGTCCAGGTCACTGGTGAGTATTAAAAGTGAAGCACTTTTCATGAGAGCACATAGCACACTTCGTCACAGTTAGCTTTTAATATTATTATTTTGCTTTGTGGAATGAAAGAATCCCTTTAATCTGAAGAGTGGTGATAACTAATTTTTGCTAAGTTGTTTCATTCTAGAGAATGGATTCACTTTTGAAAATATATTTGATCTTTGGCAGGTATGGAATGTTAGCTGGTAACCATTGCATTTTTTGTGCCAATTAAAGGGTAATGTTATGTGTCAATTTTATAAGTTTTGTAATATTTGTCTTATAGTAATGCACTTCAAATGTTCATATTTGCAGAATATTTAGTTCTTTCATACTGTTTGGGTGGATTATAACAAGATCAATGAGGTCAGAATCAATGGGTTTTTGGATTTCGCTGATTCCAAGATACCATTTTTCTTCCGCATTTCAACATTTCTGAAGTTGAAATGCATCTTATAGTTGGTGGCATCTTAGCCTTGTGTCATAATTTAATTAATAGGTTATTTTCTTTCTTTGTAGCACATAAAATAAAGATATATTTTACAATCAATGCTGTCTTTGATTCTATGAAAGACTAATTATCATAAAGTTGGTATGCAAATTCAACCTTGTAAGACAAACATATTTTACAACTGAAATTGAATAGGCATAATTGTCCACAAAAATAATCCCAACAATCATAGTTTTTGTATTATCAACATACATAGTTTCAAGTAAATTTACATAGAAGATAATTATTAAAACCGATAACTGAACACTGAAGAAAGCTCTTTGCCCTTTTAAGTGAAGACAAGTAGAAATTTAACTTTATGATGATGTCATGTAGAAAATACATATAACTTTAATTTTAGGAATACTGGCATGTAAACATTCTGTACCTTCTCTTTCTAAGCAGAAGGTAGAAGCTACGCTAGTGTTTTGCATTGTAAAACACTTGCGTTAACAACTTCTTAACTCATTTTCTCAAAGGCATCCTTTAAAATTATAGCCTCACACTTTAGCTATAATGAAAGTAGAGAATTTAAGTTTGTCTTTTTACACCTCAGAATAAGGAAGCAAGACCACGATGGCTTAGAGGCAGTGGGATATGGAAGCCAGGAGTGCTTTCTGCAGGAGAGAAGTCTTTCATTCAACAGAGAACATAGCTGAGTGGTTTTTGTGCTTGGAGCTAGAAGTGCAGAGGTGATTAAGACACAAACCATTCCCTCATGGAGCTCATAAGCAGAGTGGGCAGGGCCATGCATGTAGACAATCTGTTATAAAAAGACCAGTGCCATAATGATGGCATGTTTGAGGTGTTCCAGGAGCCTGAGGAGAAACTGCCTATTCCTGTCTAGGGAAATGTCTAGGAGGGCTTCATTTAAGAAGTAGCCTTTGAAATGAATTAAACAGTAAATGGTGATTCACTGTATGGATGAGGGAAGGGAACAGCATTTCTGGGAAGAGATAATAGACAAGCTTCTTTCTTAGAGTGCTGCAGTGATGTAAATGCAAGGTTCACTAATTTCTGGAAGAAATGTTTTCTTTAACTTGGTGATCTAAGAACTGGAATAAGGAGTTTATGAATTTTGAGGCTTAATTGTGATTTCTTTATATTTAGATAATTATTTAATCTTTCTGTGCTGTGTAAAAGCTGTGTGTTTCTGCATCTTTTCTAGTCTAATGTTTGCCCATCGTCCACGATCTTGGAGGGAAATGCCTATGAGATTTGCTGATTTTGGAGTTCTGCATAGAAATGAACTGTCGGGGACTCTCAGCGGCTTGACCAGAGTCAGGCGCTTCCAGCAGGATGATGCTCACATCTTTTGCACAGTGGAGCAGGTAAACACTAACACAGAGTGAAGCATGGTGGTCACAAATTCAGTGTGATGCCCTGGACACATCTTGTATTCTTTCAGAGTTACTGAAACATAGATGTTTGGTCTAGTCTCTGAGATCTCATTCAGCTCTAACCTGCTGTGATTCTCTAAATTAGGTCAACAGGTTAATCATCTCTTGACATGAAATGTGTTACTTTTTCTTTGGCTTCCTTCAGTGATTTTATTAACCTGAATTCCATTAAGTGGAGTATTTTAAAGGATTTGGTGGAATTCTGGATGTTTTGTTTTTCAATATTGCCTAGAACTTAAAATTTACTTTTTCAAGTTTTTGTGTTAATTCAAGTTAAAATTACCAAGCAAAGGGTCACTATCAAACAATTTGACCTAATTGATGTTTATATAACAGCAGCAGAATATACATTCTTTGGTTTTCATGTTGGATGGTTAATGTGCCAGTGTTGTATCCAATGTGCTTCATGTTGGATGGGTAATATGCTAATGTTGTGCCAAGGTGTGAGGGAGGCACATCTTACACATGTGTACACCCAATCATCACGCTTAGGAACTACAAAAGGATCAGAGTGTTTGTTTTTTGAAATTGCACATAGAATATTTACTAAGATAGACCATATTCTGGACCATAAAACAAGTCTCAATAAATTGAAAGGGATTCAATTAAAACAAAATGTTTTATTAACCCAAATGTTTAACCCTAATCCTGACTGAGCACAATAGAATTAAAAATAGATAACACAAAATCCCAAAGGAGAATCAGATAATTTTATGTAACAAATGAAATAAAACACATCAAAATTTGTGGGATGCCATTTAAGTGGTATTTAGAGGGATGTTTACAGCAGTGAATACCTGCATTAGAAAAGAAAAATCAAGGACTTAGCTTTTACTTAAGATAGAAAAAAGAAGAACAATTACACCCAATGTAATGGAAGCAAAAGGAAGAAAATAAGAAGGAGCAGAGCAGAAATCATTGAAATAGAAAAAGAAAATGAAGAATATAAATAAAACAAAAGCTGGTTCTCTGAGAAGTCAGACTGATGAGGGGAAAAAGAGAAGGCACAAATAAAAATGTCAGGAATAAGATAGATGTCATCACTACAGATTCTGTAGCTATTAAAAAGATAAGGCAGTTTTATGAATAACTTTATGCTAATACATTTGACAGCTTAGATGAAATGGATAAATCCTTGAAGGACACAAACTATTAAGCTTTACTCAAGAAGAAGTAAATCATCTGAATAGCCCTGTGTCTACTACAGAAATTTGATTAATAGTTAAAAACCTTCCTACACAGAAAATTCCAGGCCAAGATGGTTTTACTGGTGAATTCTACCAAACATTAAAGAAGGAATAATACCAATCTGGAGATATTCTTCCAGAAAATTGAAGAGGAAGAAATCTTCACCACCTCATGAAGCTAATGAAGCTAATCTTGCACTGATAGAAAAATAAGACAAAGAAATTTTAAAAAAACTACTGAATATCTCAAAGAACTTAAACAACATTTTAGTCGTCAAATCTAGTAATTTTTTAAGAAGGACGTGTTAATCAAATGGACTGAATCCCAGGAATGAAAAGTTAGTTTAACATTAGAAAATGAATCATTGTAATTCCCCACATTCACAAACTGAAAAAAAGAAAACAAAAAGACAAAAAACATATGATCTTCTCAGTAGATGCAGGAAAAAGTATTTGGCCAAATTGTACATCCATATCTGATAAAACTCTAAAAACTAGAAATGGAAGGGATCTTTCTTAACCTGATAAAAGGCCTCTATGAAAAACCTACAGTTCTCGTACTTATTAGTGAAAGTCTGAATGCTTTACACTTAAAATCAGGAATTAGGTAAGGATTCTCTCATTACTTCTCTGGTCATTGTACTGCAGGTACTTTCTGATGCAGTAAGTTAACAAAGAGAAATAAAAAACACCTAGATTGGAAAGAATTAAAACTCTTGTAAATGATATAATCATCTATGTAGAGATTAGATGGAATCTACAAAAAGCTATTAGAAGTAAGGTGAATTTAGAAAAATTGTAGTATGGAATATCAATATATAAAAATCAATTGTATATGCATTTCACAGCAATAAACGCTTAGAAATTGCAAATAAGAAACAATTTATAATAGCATCACAAAACATGATAATACTTTGGGATAAAACTGACAAATATGTGGCTGTGGACTGAGTTGTGACTCCCAGAATTTATATGTTGAAGTCTTAACCCCCAATGTGATGGTGTTTGGAAATGGGGCTTTTGGGAAGTAATTAGGTATAGATGAGATCATGAGGATGGAGCCCTCATGATAGGATTAGTGCCCTTTTAAGGAGATACCAGAGGCTTCCTTTTTGTCTCTGCCATGTGAGGACACAGTGAGAAGTCAGCCATCAGCAAACTGGGAAGAAAGCCCTCACCAAGGAATTGAATCAGCTGGCACATTGATCTTGGATCTCCCAGCCTGCAGAACTGTGAAGAATGAATGAATTCTTATTTAAGCCACACAGCCTATGGTTTTTCATTCTGGCAGCCCAAGCTGGTAATACATATGTACACAACCTATACAGTGAAAACTTTAAGACCTTGCTGAGATAAATTTAAAGAAGGCCTAAATACTGGCCTCATAAAATGAGTTAGGGAGGATTCCCTCTTTTTCTATTGATTGGAATAGTTTCAGAAGGAATGATACCAGCTCCTTCTTTTGCCTCTGGTAGAATTCGGCTGTGAATCCATCTGGTCCAGGATTTTTTTGGTTGGTAGGATATTAATTATTGCTTCAATTTCAGGGCCTGTTATTGGTCTATTCAGAGATTCAAATTTTTCCTGGTTTAGTCTTGGGAAGGTGTATGTGTCCATGAATTTATCTATTTCTTCTAGATTTTGTAGTTTATTTGTGAAGAGATGTTTATAGTATTCTCTGATGGTAGTTTGTATTTCTGTGGGATCAGTGGTGATATCCCTTTTATCATTTTTTATTGCATCTATTTGATTCTTCTCTTTTCTTCTTTATTAGTCTTGCTAGAGGTCTATCAATTTTACTGATCTTTTCAGAAAACCAGCTCCTGGATTCATTGATTTTTTTGAAGGGTTTTTTGTGTCTTTATCTCCTTCAGTTCTGCTCTGATCTTAGTTATTTCTTGCCTTCTGCTAGCTTTTGAATGTTTTTGCTCTTGCTTCTCTGGTTCTTTTAATTGTGATGTCAGGGTGTCAATTTTAGATCTTGCCCGCTTTCTCTTATGGGCATTTAGTGCTATATATTTCCCTCTACACACTGCTTTAAATGTGTCCCAGAGATTCTGGTATGTTGTATCTTTGTTCTCATTGGTTTCAAAGACTATCTTTATTTCTGCCTTCATTTTGTTATGTACCCAGTAGTCATTCAGGAGCAGGTTGTTCAGTTTCCATGTAGTTGAGCGATTTTGAGTGAGTTTCTTACTCCTGAGTTCTAGTTTGATTGCCCTGCGGTCTGAGAGACAGTTTGTTGTAATTTCTGTTCTTTTACATTTGCTGAGGAGTGCTTTACTTCCAACTATGTGGTCAATTTTGGAATAAGTGCAATGTGGTGCTGAGAAGAATGTATATTCTGTTGATTTAGGGTGGAGAGTTTTGTAGATGTCTAGTAGGTCCGCTTGGTGCAGAGCTGATTTCAATTCCTGGATATCCTTTTTAAGTTTCTGTCTTATTGATCTGTCTAATGTTGACAGTGGGGTGTTAAAGTCTCCCATTATTATTGTGTGGAAGTCTAAGTCTCTTTGTAGGTCTCTAAGGACTTGCTTTATGAATCTGGGTGCTCCCGTGTTGGGTGCATATATATTTAGGATAGTTAGCTCTTCTTGTTGAATTGATCGCTTTACCATTATGTAATGCCCTTCAAAGCCTGGGAGAGACACAACAAAAGAAGATAATTTTAGACCAATATCCCTGATGAACATCGATGCAAAAATCCTCAATAAAATACTGGCAAACTGAATCCAGCAGCACATCAAAAAGCTTATCCACCACGATCAAGTGGGCTTCATCCCTAGGATGCAAGGCTGGTTCAACATCTGCAAATCAATAAACGTAATCCAACATATAAACAGAACCAAAGACAAAAACCACATGATTATCTCAATAGATGCAGAAAAAAACCTTTGACAAAATTCAACAGCCCTTCATGCTAAAACCTCTCAATAAATTCGGTATTGGTGAGACATATCTCAAAATAATAAGAGCTATTTATGACAAACTCACAGCCATTATCATACTGAATGGGCAAAAACTGGAAGCATTCCCTTTGAAAACTGGCCCAAGACAGGGATGCCCTCTCACACTACTCCTATTCAACATAGTGTTGAAAGTTCTGGCCAGGGCAATCAGGCAAGAGAAAGAAATAAAGAGTATTCAATTAAGAAAAGAGGAAGTCAAATTGTCCCTGTTTGCAGATGGCATGATTGTATATCTAGAAAACCCCATCGTCTCAGCCCAAAATCTCCTTAAGCTGATAAGGAACTTCAGCAAAGTCTCAGGATACAAAATCAGTGTGCAAAAATCACAAGCATTCTTATACACCAGTAACAGACAGAGCCAAATCATGAGTGAACTCCCATTCACAATTGCTTCAAAGAGAATAAAATGCCTAGGAATCCAACTTACAAGGGATGTGAAGGACCTTTTCAAGGAGGACTACAAACCACTGCCGAACAAGATAAAAGAGGACACAAACAAATGGAAGAGCATTCCATGCTCATGGGTAGGAAGAATCAATATTGTGAAAATGGCCATACTGCCCAAGGTAATTTATAGATTTGATGCCATCCTCATCAAGATACCAATGACTTTCTTCACAGAATTGGAAAAAACTACTTTAAACTTCTTATGGAACCAAAAAAGAGCCCACATTGCCAAGTAATCGTAAGCCAAAAGAACAAAGCTGGAGGCATCACACTACCTGACTTCAAACTATAATACAAGGCTACAGTAACCAAAACAGCATGGTACTGG